ACTTTTACGTCAACAAAAATTAATCATGAAGAGAGACCACACTGTGTATTGTGTATGAACGTTTTGTCAACAGAGTGTAGGCTTCCAAGTAAATTAAAGCCCCATTTAGAAGCTAATCAACGTGAAAAAGGAAATGAGGGAAATGAGGGCTATGTCCAGTTTTATTCCACGATTTGAGAAAATGTGCAATGATTGACAGGCTCATCCATCAAATTAAGGTGAAAAAAAATAAGGAAGATACACGAGTTTTATTTATTTTTATCTCTTACTTACGAATAGTCATACTTAGGGTAGGACGCCATGGAGAAATTATAATTGAAAAATGGCGCCGCGACTAGGAAAAGTTTGGGAACCCCTGGTCTAAGGATTGACTGTATTTGTAAGCCAATGGCGATTGAAAGGCCGACCAAACTATTGGGAATGCACCAAGTCCACGGTCCAACTCTGGAAATTATCATACATACTATGGACTCTGGACAAAATGTTTTCCTCTAGGTCGTCCTGACAATACGGTCAAGTTGCGAAAACGAGATTAAGCAACTTCTAAAAAATAAGTAACATCGTCTTTTGCAATGTGATTTAAGGGACGTCTAGCGTTACTCTGCAATATGACCTACTGGCACTCGTGGAAGTTTAGTGGAGTGGTAAAGTTGTCACGATACTAATGGCCCAATAACGAATCTCGTTGAGGTGCTAATGAGACTGGGCGAAGTTGAAATCGCAGTCTAATCTAGATAAGAGAACTTCTTAAGAGACAGGGCCAAGTGATGCTCAATGGTATCCTAAGGCGTAATCATCTCATTGCGGACGAAACTCGACTATCCGTGTTTAACCCACCTTTGTTATAGAAGTGGTTTGACCTCGTTTTCGCCACTTAGTCGTGCGACCTAGTTGAATGCACCTGGCCCGAAGTCCTCTGCTACAAAAGTCATGATAATTCCCGGCATTGGACGGTTTGTCTGGTAGGCTGAGAATTATTCTAACTGCTAAAGCAGAGGACTTCGGACAAGATACGTCTAACTAAATCGCCGCAATCACACGAGTAAGTTGCTAAGACGAGGTCAGAACACTTATACGCATCGAAAAAAGTCTGCGACCAAAATAAAGGCTCGATTTTCATATCCCCATTTGTTATATTCAACAATTATACCGAAAAGGTAATAGGGCCTCTTTTTGTGCCGTATACCTCAGAGCCAACTTCGTCTGCACTTGTCTCTGTCATCCTCTGTCTTGGAGCCTCTAGGCGAGTCAACCGACAGTCTGTCCTGCCCTCGTAGTCTCCGCCGGCAGCGCCGCCCGTCTCCAGGACGTCGAGCTTGTCTGGCAGCTGACCAGCCAACTGGACGATGCTGCCTGAACGACTGGCGGCCGGATGGCTGGTCAGGCGAGCCAGGTTACCTGTCAGATGTTCTGCCTGCCGGAGAGCAGAGGTTAACAGTCGACTTCGTACATCCTCCGTCCATGCGGCGAACACACCGAGCCGGCTGCCGCACAGCCCTCCGGAATGGCTCGAACGACGGGGCAGACTGGCGACAAACAGTGCTACAGGAGAGGGTGGAGCAAACGAGCCGTGTCCGGGTGGAGGGCCCGTATGCCCGGAGTCCGCTGTCAACGAGCAACTGGAAGAACCGCTGTTATCGGCTGTCCTTGTCGTCCTCGAGGCGGCGATGTGCAAAGGCGTGCGGGGCAAAGCAAGGCATGGAAACCATGCCACTTGGTCGAAAGCCGAAGCACAGCCGGGCCCACTGATGCTGACGCGAGCGGCTTCGACTAAACCACCACCTGCTGGTAGAATGATGATGCAAGGGGAAAAAAATTATTAAATCAGAGATATGAAAAGGCTAGGTTTGGTCGAAGTCCCCAGGGTTTGACCTTTTTTCGCAACTTTCTCGGAACATACTTATTCAAACATTCTCTGTCATAGTAAATAATAAATTAACAGGGAAATCTACAAATGGATAATTAATTAATTCCTATGAAGTAATGCAAGAGTCCCAGTAGCATATGGTTTGCCGAATATACACAAAGAAGGCAACTGATAACCAGCAAGGAAAAAACACATTTACATAAACTGGCGAAATTTATCAGCCTCAAATTAAAGGAAATGAATGACAAACTATCAAATACAGTGAAAGATTCAAAAGAATTTTGCCAAAAATCAAGGGTACGAACTTGGAAGAAAACGAAATATTGGTGGGCCTTATACACAGTTCATGTATACCAGCATCTCAGGAGAAAAAACACTTACGGCATTATGGGAGAACTTGGAAAGAGAAGACGATATCCTGGAGACGGAGAAAATAGGAAAAAAGTCTCTGACTCAAGTAATCAACCAACAGATATTATGATTCCTATTTTGGTAGCGATCTATTTTCGATGTATAGAAGTGGTCTGACGCCTTTTTCACAACTTGGTCGTGTTGTCAGGGCGACTTAGTTGGACGCAACTTGTCCGCAGTCCTCCTCTATATTAGTTAACAGAATTCCCCACGTCATACGATGGACTTGGTACATTCCCAGATGTTTCACCGGCAGTGTCAGTGACAAAGGACAAGTCGATTTGACGGGTTGTAGCTTGGAGCTGAGAATGGCATGACGCACTGACGATGCCGAACACAATACTAGCGAAACTTCTGGAAATCTACCAAGTACATGATTAGATGCGGAGAATTATGATAACTACTAGAGCAAAGAACTTCGGACAAGGTGCGCCCTTCTAAGTCGCCCTGGCAATACGACCAAGTTGTGAAAATGAGATCAGACTACATCTACTAAATTCATGTTCAACCACCACGTCTATAAATATTTGGTCTGTTTATAGACTCGTCACTTTAAATCTGTTGACTGATGTCTATATGAACAAGTCAAAAGAGGATTTCAAAGCATCACCTCAGCAGACTATAATGATTATGCGATATCCAGATGACCATTTCGCACTCTAATCACATATAAAAGAAAAATAGGAAAAATTATCTCAAACGACATGAATAAAAAAAATCAAATTTACATTTGATGTAGAAGAAAGTAGACACTTGCTTTTTTTGGATTTGGAAGTGATTCGTTGGAGAAGACTCTAAATAAAGAGATTCAGCAGGCAATAACATAGAGGAATAATCCTTAACTTCAAGTCTCAGCATAGAGATTGAAGATTGTAATACTTAGGAGTATGATAATAAGAGGCCAAAGATTCGCCGATTCTGAGTTCTGCGA